GAGGAGAAGCGCTCCTTATTCTAGGACAGAGGAGAAGCGCTCCTTATTCTAGGACAGAGGAGAAGTGCTCCTTATTCTAGGACAGAAGAGAAGTGTTCCTTATTCTAGGACACAGAAGCGCTCCTTATTCTAGGACAGAGGAAAAGCCCTCCTTATTCTAAGATAGAGGAAAAGCCCTCCTTATTCTAGGACAGAGGAGAAGTGCTCCTTATTCTAGGACAGAGGAGAAGTGCTCCTTATTCTAGGATAGAGGAAAAGTCCTCCTTATTCAGGACAGAGGAGAAGTGCTCCTTATTCTAGGACAGAGAAGTGCTCCTTATTCTAGAACACAGGAGACGTGCTCCTCAGGGTTTCTGAGTCTGCCACTCTGCGCAGGCGCAGCCAGCCTCATCTCTCCTCAGAGATGGTTTTAGTCACTGACCTCAGTTAGGTGTCAGCAGCCCAACACCTAACCCACGACACCACCCCTTCTTCTACCAAATGGCTGAGCCATTGTTGAAAGTGGGGTCGAGTCGGTTTCCACTCATAGGGATCCTATACAGGGTTTCCTAGGAACGGCTGATGGGTTTTAACTGGCAACCTAGTAGTTAGCAGTCTAGTGCTTATCCTACAGCGCCGCACCAGGATGCCAATGACTGGGCAGCATTATGTATATGTGAAGTGTTTGTGGCCCCTGCAATGGGATTAGACAGCTTACAAATATTGCTGTTGTTGTGAAGTGCTATCAAGTCGATTCCGACCCATAGCGACCCTGTATAGGGTTTCCAAGGAGCAGCTGGTGAGCTTGAATTACTGACTTTGCAGTTCAAACAGCTTTGCAGTCTGACGCATTAGCACAAATGTTGTTGTTGTTGTTAAGTACCGTGGAGTTGGTTCCAACTCATAGTGAACCTGCACAGGGTTTCTGAGGCTGCAAATCTTTACAGGAGCAGACAGTCTCATCTTTCTCCCACAGAATAGCAGGTAGTTTCGAACTGCCAACCTTGAAGTTAGCAGCCTGATTCATAAGCACTACACTACCAAAGCACAAATATTAGTTACAAGTAAATCCTATTGGTAAGCCATCCCCCATTGGGTGGGGCTATGCAAATAGGGTGTGTAGAACTCTACTGTGGGGATTGGTCAGTTTTGCCATCTCTCCAGTTTTAAAATCCCCCATCTCGGTGGTAGTAAAGGGGACCTCCCTACCTTTAAGGAAGAGGAGCCAGGAGCAGAGCGCATCCTCTAGATCCTGACCATCTGTAGACCATCTGTCCTCCGTCCAGGAGACAGAGCACGGTGGCACCAGGGTAGTGGCAGCAGCAGACTAGACTGGTGGGCTCCCTGCCACTGAACGGAACACCGAGTGCCTCCGGGCAGGAGGCTTGCTTGAAGGGTGGTGTGCTTCCTGGACAGATGTTTGTCTGGGGAGCTAGGGCTATGTACTCCCTGAACCAGCGCTGAGTGCCTGTGGGCTGAGGCTATAGGTGCCTTCTGGGTATCTGTCCGCAGCACCGAGAGCTCTGTGATACTGCCTGAACTGAGGAGCACCAGACAGAGGTGCCTGTGGTCCCGGCAGACTGGAGAGCTGTGTCCTGAGTGATTGTCACCCGTGTACTTCCCTAATGAGCCCCATGATGTAGACACTGTCTGTGAGCTCCAGGGGGCCGCTGCAGCACACGAGGGAACCGGAGCAGAATTGATGCCCATGAGCTGTGGTGCTGGAGGCAAATACTGAAAGTACCAGGGTCTGCCAAAGGAACAAAGCAAGCTGTGCTGGAAGAAGGCTCCCTGGAAGGCTGGACAGCCAGACTTCATCTCTCATACTTCAGACATATTATCAGGAGGGACCAGTCCCTGGAGTCCCTTTACCAGGGACATGCTTGGTAAAGTGGAGGGACAGTGAAGAAGAGGAAAACCCCCAGTGAGGTGGATTGGCACAGTGGCAGCATCGATGGGCTCCAGTTTAGCAGCAACTGTGAGGTTGGCACAGGACCAGGCAGTGTTTTGTTCTCTTGTGCATAAGGTCGCTATGAGTTGGTACCGACTCAATGGCACTGACAACAACATTAAACCCAGCAGAAAACCAGAAAGCACTGTGGGTAAAATTGGTAAAGGAGGCTGGAGGCCTCACAGGGATCGGCCCTGTGCTGATGTTGGATTTGATTCGCCTTCTTCCGCATCTGGAAGTCAGAATGGGGTCAGATACCGCCACCACGCCATGGCGTGGGGGTTAGGCATTGGGCTGTTAAGCACAGGTTGGTGGTTCAAACCCACCAGTCACTCTGCAGGAGAGAAATGAGGCTCTCTGCTCCCGTAAAAGATTTACCAACCTGGAAACCCTGTGCTGTCAGAATCGACTTGATGGTGGGGTGGAGGGTGGGTGTCAGGAGCAACTATCAGACTCTGAAAGCTTTCAGACTCCAGCGTTACGTCTGAGTCCTTGTCCTTCCAGGGCAAATGTGCGTTTAAGAAACTACAGCTGGACCTGAATCTGAACACAGGGGGTCACAAAGGGATTGACTGTCCCGATCCCCATCCAATTCATGAGACAGCTGGGCTGGCTCCACCTCCGACTCCAGGGGAGCACAGATGAGCCCCCCATATACACACACTTCAGAGGTGGGTCTGGGGACACCTTCCTCAGCGTGACAAGGACAGGGGTTCCGAGGCCGGGACTGAAGGTGTCCCCTAAAGAACAGGTGTCAGGGTCGGGGGGGGGCCAGTGTGTGGCGTCATCAATAAGATCCAGATTCAGAACGAGCCTGCGCGGAGCCTCCCTGTGCTCCGCCTGTCGGCCTTCAGGAAAGGGGCTGAGGGCCACACACAGGACCAGGAGGGGAGCCCGAGGGGGCAGCCTTCACCTGGGCCTTCCTTCAGGGCTCCCAACGTGGGGAGAGGCAAGGGGATGGGGGTCTGTCACCAACCAAGCACGGTACACTCCCCAGGAGGGGTCTGCGGGGAGTCCCTCATGATCGATCAGCAGCCCCGCACTCACTTCTTGGGTCTCCTCAGGGAGGTGCAGTCCGTTCCTCCGGCTGAGCTTGGTGAGTCGCTCTAGGTACCGCATGGCCTCGGGTTTCAGCATGTCCTTCTCAACCTTCTCCTGGGACAAGAAAGTCACACCATTTCCACAATCAGTCTAACGGATGGAGTAATGGACCACAGGAATGTCAACTCCACACCCTGGAGCCCCAAGAACTAGACGGTGCCCAGCTACCACCACAAACTGCTCTAAAAAAGGGATCGTATTAGAAGGACTTGGAGAGAATGGGAGAAAAACATAAATAAAACTCAAAATCATAAAAAAAAAAAAAAAAAAAAAAGGGCCAACCAAAATGGGGGGCTATAAAGGCAAGAAGTGACTAGCTTACAAGCTTTCAAGAGGGAGCCTAGATCCAGATGGTGTGGAGGAAGGTAGAGTCTCCACTGAGTAGTATCCAATCTGACTAGGCGGGGCTGACTAGGCGGAGATTGGGATAAGTTTCTTGTGGTACAATAGTGAATTATTACTATCAGGACTGACTGTGAGGGTTGGAAATGTAAAGGCAAACATCCCGTAGCAAAAGGAGGGGAGTGGTTGACTCTACAGTCTAGGAGTGGTGGTCCCTGGGACCATCAAGGGAGAACAGAGCAGGACCCTACCCAGAGAAGCAGTGATACCTGAGATGGAGGCAGGGACAATGATGTGGAGAGATAGAGCGGCCTGGGGACTTTAGACCCAGAGAGGGCTGTGTGCTGACGGGGGGTGGGGCAGGCTTGTAGTGTATACCCTTTGGGGATTGTAACAATGGCAGTGAAATGATATACGATAGGATGAATGTAAAACTAATGTTCTCCCGTGTAAACTATCACGTAATTCACAATAAAATAAATAAATAAATAAAAGGGCCAAGCTATAAGTCAGATAAAGACTGGTGGACCCCTAGGCTATGGCCCTTGGCCCCCTTTCAGGTGTGGAACTGAAGTCACCCCCACGATTCAATGTTCCGCCAAACCATAGGCAGGTCCGTAGGAGGCAACACTACTAGGGGGGTCCACACACCATGGACTGGTCAACCATTCAAGATCAAAGAGGCACCAATAACCCTAGGACATGATCCTAGGGTGGGGAAAGGAGGCGGGATGGAAACAAGACCCGCAGGGCGGAAGTGAGGTAAGTGATGTCACAAGGAGGGAGCTGCAATCGTTGAGATGAAACGAAGTGTAGGATTTGTTAAATGTCCAACAGATGACCTACTCTGTAAACCTCAATTCATTTCACATTACGGGTGGCCCTAGAGGAAAAGGATCGCAGGTTCACAATCGTCCTAGGGAGAGTGAAGCCCTGACCAGTACAAAGACCACACCTGGATGAGGGAGAATCCACGGGAGCATATAAGTCCCAGTCATGGTGCCCCTTCTAGACGATGGGCTGTGACCGTGGAACACAGCATCAGGGACAGGCCTGCAGGACAGGGACGCACATCACTCACTGCAGGGCTAAAAGGCTCTCAGGGCTGGTTCTGGGCCTGGAGGTCAGTCAGGGTGTGACTGGTGGTCATGCTGCCCTGAGACAGCCAGCAGGCCCTCGTGAGACAGCACACGTGTGGGTGGCTCCTTCTGGGATGTGCCCAGGCGGGTTCCCTGTTTGTGCGAGGAACACTTTCTGCACACCTGGTTAGTCTACTTGCAATCACACACTCCCTGAGGGCGAGCCGCCCTTCCCTGGCCCCAACTTGTCTATGTCTCCCACAGGACTGGGCCAACAGTCCCAGCGTGGGGAAGTCACTCAAATGTTATCTGAAGGAGCACCAAGCCTCTCAGTGGAGCCAGGGCTTCCGTGGCAGCCTGCCACGTTCCACAGACCAAGCGCTGGAGGATGATGCCCATGGGAAATGACAACCAAGACAAACACAGGCAAGCTGGCTAGCAAGGGCTGCTGGGAACATCAAGTGGGGCATCAAGCTGCCCTGGGAGGCAGTTTGGTGGTTTCTTAAAGACTCAGCTTGCCAAGGCTCATTCCCACCCCCTCCATACACAGAATAGACAGGGATGGGCTACTTGGACATTGGCTATCCAAAGTGGGGGGGCCTCAAAGGCAAGAAGTAATCTAGATGCAGAGGGCATGGAGGAAGGTAGAATCTCCACTGAGTAGTATCCAATCTGTCTAGGCGGGGCTGATGAAAGGAAATGTGGATGGGTCTCTTGTGATGCAATAGTGAATAATTGTTATCAGGACTGATTGTGAGGGTTGGAAATGTAAAGGTAGACGTTTTATAGCAAGTAGGGGAGTGATTAACTTTTCAGTCTAGGAGCAGAGGTCCCTGAGACCATCAAGGGAGAAGAGCAGAGAGCGGGACCCTACCCAGAGAAGCAGTGATGCCTGAGATGGAGGCAGAGATGATGTCGTGGAGAGATGGAGCAGCTGGGGACTCTAGATCCCTAGCTGTGTGCTGACAACCAGAGGGCAGGCTTGTAGGGTATACCCTTTGGTTGGTTAATGATGCATGGAGGGGATTGTAACCATGGCAATGAAACAATATACGATAGTTTACATGGGAGAACATTAGCTTTACATTCATCCGATCACATAATTCAAAATCAAACATTTGAAAAAACTCAGCTTGCTAGGCAAATCATTGTGGTGCCTGGCCCCTAAATGTGCCACGTGTCTTTGCTCTCATGTCAAGAATCACTGCACTAATAGGAATTGTTACCTTTTTTTGCCCTGCCCACCATGTAAATCAGGAGCTCTGGTAGCGTAGTGGTTACAAATCGGGCTGCGAACCTTAAGGTCAGTGGTTCGAAACTACCAGCCGCTCCGCAGGAGAAAGATGAGGCTTTCTACTCCCGTAAAGATTTACACCCTCGGAAACCCTGTACAGGGTCACTATGGGTCAGAACCGACTCGATGGCACTTAACAACAACAACAACAACCATGTAAATCAACTATCTAGGGATATTAGTCTTGCTCATACGATCCAAGAGTAAATAGATAAAAGTTTACAAAACAGACTAAATGCTTTAGAGAAAGGAAGATCGCTTAAGGGAAATAAAACCCAATATATCCAGATTACACTCCCAGCTAAGGTTATTCACGGTATAAGTAGATTTGTGTTATCTTTCAGTAATCCAGAACTTGATTGGAACTTAATTCAACAGCATTTTAGGAGGTTGTGGAATAATATCCACTTGTCTGTGGATATTCATCAGCTACATGCTCAAATTTCTGATATAAGTAATTCTCAAAGTGAGCACTGAGTGGCTACTAATTTGCTACCCCTGCTAGAGAGTAAGATCCCCTAAAAACTTGATTGAACCTCAGCATAGTGATCCTGCTTGGTCACCTTAGAGCAGGTGGTGGGCTGGCAACGTCTTGCGTATGGGGTCCCCAGCCGATCTCCTCCCTCCCTGCCTTCCTCGGATGGCGGCTGTTTATGCTGGACGTGTGGCCAGAGACGGGTAAGGATCACGTGGAACCTCAGCAACTTAAGACAGAGCCATTGCCATGCTGCAATGAGTTTCAATGACTGGTAAGACTGAGGAATTCGCACTGACTGCCTAAGACAGGCAGCACTTCCGGTCGTAAGTCCAGTGGACTGATTGGCTCCAAGCGTCTTCCATCCTTATCACTCTCCTTCCCTCCGCACACGGAGGGACCAACAGTTGTAGTTTAGATGGCCACTTACCCGCTTTTAAGATCCTAGTCACTACTCACAAAAGTTGGGTACAGAACATGGTCTTTGTGGATTATGTCATGCCAACTGACCATGGTGTCCCCAAAGACTATGATCCTGACCCCTCCCAGGCCCGGCACTTCATTCCCTGGAGGTGTTTGGTCACGTCTAAGAAATTATCATAATTTTGTCCCCTGTATATTTCTGGTGTGACACTATAGGATAAGCAGTAGACCTGAAGGTCGGCAGTTCAAACTATGAGTCGGAACTGACACGATGGTATTTAATAACAGCAATGCTCCAGGACATTCTTGGGTATGTTGAGTTGGTTCTGACTCACGCTGACCCCGGACAGGGTTTACAAGGCTGTAACTCTCTATGGGAGCAGAAAGCCTCCACAGAGGCTTCTCCACAGAGCAGCTGGTGGATTCGAACTTCTGACCTGGTTAGTAGGCCAATGCATAACCCACTAGAGTCCCAGGGCTCCTTGCATATGTTTTAGTGTGAATTACGTGATAGTTTACATGGGAGAACATTAGTTTTACATTCATTCTATCATATAATCGTTTCGTTGCCATGGTTACAATCCCCTCCATGCATCATCAAACAACCAAAGGGTATATCCTACAAGCCTGAACGGCTCCCCCTCCAACCCCCAAGTCATCAGCACACAGCCCCTCTCCCTCTCTGGGTCTAAAGTCCCCAGCCGCTCCATCTCTCCATGTCATCATCTCTGGCTCCATCTCAGACATCACTGCTTCTCTGGATAGTGTCCTGCTCTGCGCTCTTTTCCCTTGGTGGTCCCAGGAACCTCCGCTCCTAGACTGCAAAGTTAATCACTCCCTTTTACTACAAAACGTTTACCTTTACATTTACAACCTACACAATCAGTCCTGATAACAATTATTCACTATTGTATCACACAATACAATTTATTGTACCTCATTTCCTTTCATCAGCCCGGCATAGACAGATTGGATACTACTCAGTGGAGATTTCCTCACATATGTTTGCAGTAAATGTACAAATACCCTGTCAAACCTTCACCTAGTTGTGGGCATACTACCCATCTAGCAATCCTTAACTTTTCATTGTGAACTGGATGGTGATTCACAGACCATCAACAATTCAGACACATTTTGTTTCTTCTCGTTGATCGCAACCCCCACAAGTCACTCCTCCCTCTTTCCTAGCCCTCCTGAACTTTGTTCTGGGAGAAATGCTGCCCTTTGGAACTCAAACAGGTGGTTATTGTAAGGAAGGCGCACTTCCCTAGCGCTATTGTTTGGCTGAAAACTGAGCCGAGGGTGAGTTCACAGTTCCAGCCCTAAAGGGTGACTCAAGGTCCACCAGTTACCTGTCCTACCAGCAAGGTAACGGGGCTTGTCTTGTGTCAACACAGCCAGGTCAGAGAAGGGCTAGTCCTGCACCTGACCCAACTGAGTTCTACCAAGAGCAGGCTGGCACAGAGAAACCTACAGGGGAGACAGGTGCCAGCAATGTAGGGCTCGTTGGCCAGTCAAGGAGAGTGGGTTCATATGCCCGGCCTCCAGTCTGGAAGACAATGCTAGGGTCTGTATCCCGGAGAGGGAGGGGTGTGTGGGAGGAGCCCCGACCAGAGGCGGAGCCCAGGTGTGCACCACCTCCTGAGCATACCACTGGACTTCTCCTCTCCATGGGACATCAACGCCAGCTAACAGGCATGGTGGCAACAGGACGCAGAGGGCATGTGAGGGGCTTGGGGAGCGCAGAACTACCCGGTTCTGAAGAGGAGGTTTCGCTAACAGATTTCCCAGAGTCTAACCTCTCCCCTGTCATCTCTCAGGGCCTGCAGCCCTCTCACTGCGCACCTGCAGCCATACGATCCTCTGGTACACATCCTGCCTCATGCTCATCTCCACATCAAACTCTGACAGCTTCTTGTCCGCCTCTGTGCTGGCAGTCCGGATGTCTTTGGACGGGGAGACGTGCTGGGGGAAATCAAGGATATTCCTCTGAACTGAAACAGGCAAGACAACAAGACAGGCGTGAAAATGGACCCTGGGTAAAGCTGGGCTAGCACCCACCAAACCCCCAGCCATATGCTCATTCCGTCTGAGAACATTCCTGGGTACCAGGCTGCCTGGACCCTCCAGGTCACGCAGACCAAATGGAAACCCAGGTGCCTTGAGGATGTTCAGCCCAGGACGCAGGACCCAGGACGCAGTTCCAAAGTTCGCATCCCTGCTGGGGACCACCTGGTTTTAAACGTCTCTGGCTGTTAATCATTTACACAACACACTCACTTTCTGCTTCACGGGCGGCGAGTGAATGGTTACAAAAGCAACCACACAAAGTAGCCTGGAAAATAACAAGACACTTGCCATGGGGTCGACTCCCCAGTTCCCAGCGCTCCCACATACATCACAGTTCTCAGTGGCTGAGCTTGTGGAAGTGGAGTTGATAGATCTCACATGACCCAGTAAGTCCCGCCTCCGGTACCTACCCACAGAAACCGTCCTAGTCCCATGTCTGAGCCCTGTGTGACCACGGCCACAAATTCTCAAACCCAGCAGAGAAGTAAAGGGTGCCGTGGGAGGGGCGGGTGGCATCAGAACTGAGAAAGGTTGGAGGCTGGAGACAGGGCTGACCCCCATCCCACAGAAATCGGCATTGAGTTGGTACTTAGTTTGATTTCTCCTTTCCCCTTGTGTTCTCCTGATAGGAAAGGGGAAACTGAGGTTTAAGTTGGTCTCAGAGGGCATGGGTGGATGGGACTCAGTACCCGGTCTGCACTTACAGGCCCCAGAAACACAGAGTGTGGGTGGCTTCCACCAAACGAGTCTCCGGGACAAGCAAGGATGCCTTGGCTTGAATCTGAGGATTCGTGCTGGTTCCCAGAACAGTTTCCCTAGAGCTTTGGGGGGCGAGGGTCTTGGAACTGTCCACAGCAAGACTTCTGACAGGCAGGGGGACGATGTGGCAGCCTGCTTCCGTAGAGGTGACCATCTTGGAACCCCTTCTGTCAGCTACAGACGGGCTGTGCGCTGGAAGCCGCTCGGCAGCACTGGGTTTGCTTTATGATTTCGGCCAGTTCTCCAGCAATGCTGATGCTGCGATGGGGCCTGTGCTATGAGATCCTCGGGGTTTGTCCAGTGATGGGGAGCCCTGGCCACGCAGTGGTTAATGTGCTCCACTGCTAGGCAGAAGGTCTGTGGTTTGAACTCACGAGCCACTGAGGGAAGAGCCTTGATGGGCAGCTCTACTCGGTCCTTCTGGGTGGCTAGGCATTGGGAGGGCTCAGAGGCAGGGGGATGGGTGTCATCTGTTATCCAATGAGGAAGAAACACACAGACTGTGGAGTGCACACTTGATCTCTCAGACCCTCATTACCCAGAAAGCATTTCCCTTCCCTTGGCTCTGCCCTCGAGCTCCAGCTGGCCACACTGCTCCCGTGGACTAGGTCCCAGAGGAAAATGCCGGCTAGAAGGCGTTTTATTTCAGGAACGAGAAGGATGACACTGATGGGCCAGTTACCGGGCTCTGGATGGAGAGGAGAGAAAGGACTCTGAGACGCCGGAGCCAGCCCAGATCTGTCTCATCACTGAGGCTCTGCATCCATTTCCTCTGCAGTGAAGCTCCCGGTTTGGTAAAATCTCAAACGCTCTCTCTTCTTCTGGTCCACCGTCCAGGTACCTAGCTGCCTGCTGTTCTGCTTTGCCCCGGTGCTTCTGTAGTGTCTCTTCCTTGAAGGGATAAAATGAAACAAAACAAAAACCACCCACTGCCGTGGAGACAATTCTGCCTCACAGCAGCCCGTAGGAACAGCCTAGAACTGCCCCATGGGGTTTCTGAGAGGGAAGCAGACAGCCTCAGCTTTTTCAAACAGAGCGGCTGGTGGGCTCAAACCACTGACCTGTTGGTTAGGTGACCAACACTTAACCCACGGTGCCACAACTACACAAAATACATGCTATGAAACTAGAACAAAACACCCCACACTGCTCTTGGCCTTGCACACCAGTGTATACGCTATGAAGTCTCATGGGCTCCAGGGACCAGTGGTCCTGTGGGATGTCACCAGAAAAGCAGGACCCAACCAGCTGGTTAGAGGTCCCATCCCAGAACCTGTGGAGGGCCCTGTTGGGACAGGGTTTTTACAGAAGTCCTCAGTCACGGTGAGGTCACACAGAACCAGAGCAGGGCCTACGCAATGACGCCTGTGCTTGTGAGAAGGGAAATGAGGACACAGAGGTAGAGAGGGAAGACGGCAGAGGGAGACTGAGGCTGCGGGGATGCATCTCTAGGCCAAGGCTGATGGGCCACCACCAAGTACTGCAAGATGACAGGTAGGACCATGAGCCTCTGCAGGGAGTGTGGCCCCGCCCACACCTGGGACTGCAGAACACACCTCGGATTTGAAGCTTGGGTTGGAGGCCCTTGGCTCCACAGCCCCAGGACACTGGTGCTATCTGTTAGCTAAAAGATATGGTGGGGTGAGAGGGCGGCCAAGCCCAGCGGTTGTTGTTAGGTGCCACTGAGGCAGTACTGACTCACAGCGACCCTATGCACAACAGAACAAAGCACTGCCTGGTCCTGGGCCAACCTCACAATCGTTGCTACACTTGAGCCCATTGATGCTGCCACTTGGCCAATCCATCTCATTAGGGGTCTTCCTCTTTTTCTCTGACCCTCCACCTTACCAAACATGATATCCTTCTCCAGCAACTGGTCCCTCCTGACAATATGTCCGAAGTATGAGAAACCAAGTTTGGCCATCCTGGCCTCCAAGGAGCACTCTAGCTGCACTTCTTCCAACACAGATCTGTTGGTTCTTTAGGCAGCCCATGGTACTTTCAATATTCTCCTCCAACACCATAACTCAAAAGCATCAATTCTTCAACAGTCTTGCTTGTTCACTGTCCAGCTTTCACATGCATATGAGGTTATTGAAAATACCATGGCTTGGTTGGGTCAGGCACACATTAGTTCTCAAGCTGACATCTTTGCTCTTCAACATTTTAAAAAGGTCCTGTGCAGCAGATTTGCCTAATGCAATACGTCATCTGATCTCCTGACTGCTGCTTCCATGAGTGTTGATAGTTGATCCAAGAAAAATGAAGTCCTTGACAACTTCAATCTTTTCTCTGTTGATAAGAATGTTGTTTATTGGTCCAGTGGTGAGGATTTTTGTTTTCTTTACATGGAGATGCACTCCATACAGAAGGCTGTGCTCTTTGATCATCAGTAAATATATATTTTTTTTCCTTAAATGTTTTATTGTGAATTATGTCATCAGTAAATATTTTAAGTTCTCTTTACTTTTAGCAAGCAAGGTTGTATCATCTGTACACTGCAGGTTGTTAATGAGTCTTCCTCTAATCCTGATGCCACATTTTTCTTCATAGAACCCAACTTCTTGGATTCTTTGCTCAGCATACAGGTTGAATAAGTATGGTGAAAGAACACAACCCTGTTGCACATCTTTCGTGATTTTAAACCCTTCAGTGTACCCATGTCCTGTTCGAACAGCTGCCTCTTGGCAGTTAGGAGAAGACAATATAAATGCTCCCCAGGGATTGGGAGCGGAGAGGACTCAGGCTCGGTCATCCCCAGCGTTGGCTCTCAGGCAGAGAGCTCTTTAGACAGAGTTCCAGTTCAAGCTTTCAAGTGTCGTGCTGATCAGCTGGAAAGAGGGTGGGCTTCAGGACCCCGCGGTGACTGGCCCCCGCCACGTGCATCTCCCTGCGTCTCTGGCTTTTTCATCACAGCCCCCTGGGAGTAGGTGGAGACTCTTCAACTCCTACAGCCCAGAAAGCTGAGTCCCCCATGTACCCCAGCCCGAGTCAGGACAGGCAGCTAGACCTGCCTGGCTCTGGAGACCCTCTGAATCTCAGTGGTGAGATGGGCAGCTGACCAAGGGGCTGGTGCATGACCACGCAGCATTTCACTCTGTGGTGTAGGGGGTCGCTGTGAAGGGGGACCTATCTATTAGCTATCAGCAATGGCAGCAGCAAAATGACAAGAAGTGGGGTCTTTGGAGCCCCGCGCAGCTGCAAACATGGCCCTGCTGGTACCACCGAGCCTGGACTTACCCGTGTAGGACACCTCTACGTCAGCCAGGGCCTTGAGCGTACTCTCGTAGGACACGTCCTCAAACGCCTGGGCGCCCACCTGGTCGTACACGTGCTTGGTCTTCTCCATGAGCTCTCGGGTCAGCGCCTGGATCTGCTCGGCGTTCAGGTCCCAGCGCAGGTGGTTTTCCACGGAGCATGGAGATGCTGCCGCGTCCAGGACCTCACCTGCACGATCTGGGTGGGAGGGAGCAAGGAGAAGTCTCCATGTGTCCATTCCAAGGCTGGGGGGTCAGGGGGCAAATCACCCATGTCCCACCCAGATCAGTCAGGCCAGGGCTGTGTGGGGGCACAGACAGGCTGATCCTAGAGCTGGGGGTCTCACGGAGTCACGTCTGGGGACATTTGTGGTCGTCACGACTGGGGCCGGTACTAGTGGCTGGCACCTAGTGGATGGAGGCCAGAGATGCTCTGCCCACCCCACAGTGCCCAAGACACCGCACCCCTGAGAAGAGCCAGCTATCCGCCCTGGGATCAGTGCCAAGGGGACACTTTTTAAAAACACAGAGTTCAGTCCCTGCTTATCCGGCCCACCAGAATAAACTCCCACTGGGTCAGACGGTATCAACCAGGGGTGCCTGCAGCTCCCGGGGTTTGCTTCGCCTCGCCACCCACTCAGTGTGTGGACTTCAGTGTGGACAGCGTCCCAGATGTCTGGGGGCCTCAGCATGGGGACATTTGCGGTTTTTGTGATTGGGAGGGGGTGCTACTGGTAGGGAGCGGATGGAGGGCAGAGATAGTGCCCAGCACCCTACAGTGCCCAGGATGCCCCTCCGCCACCCCACCTTACAGATCCAACCCAGGTCCCAGCGTTTATAGTGGGGAGGGGGCTCCTAAAATACTGCAGCCCAAAGAATCAGAGGAAGAAGGAGGCACAGTGGGGGAGGCTCAGAGGAGCCCCTTCTTCTCCTGGCTCTCTCCCTGTCCTGCCCCAGCTGACACACTCACCAACTCACAGAGGTGCTGTGGGGACCGGCTTTACCCCATCCTGTTTCCCCCCCACCGCCCTGAGGAAGGACTGGCTACGGGCAGCCTGCTTGGTGAGGTCAGGCCGGGGAGAAGCCTGTGGGAAAGCCCAGAAGTGAGACTTCCGAGGAGAACTAGGGCTGAGGTGAGGGCTAGACAAGCAGACCACACAGCCCCCGGTGGCTCTACACCCGAGGCTGAGGCCGGCACACTTGCAGTCCCTGCCCTGTGCAAAAACAGGGCTGCCGTCTATCTGCCAGGCCCTGGTGTGGCCATGGCTGGAGGGGGCACTGAGGGACTGAACTCAGGGAGGGAGGAAGGCAGGGGGTCACGACAGCCACAAACATAGCAGCTGCAGTCTGACTGTGCAGCCTCGGGCCCCACCTCTGCCACTGGAACCTCAGGGAGAGGCCCCCCATCTGTAAGACTCAGGTGAACTAAGTGAGGGATAAACATTGCATCCCGAGCGACGCACAGCGCCCCATGTGTGTCCGACCAGAACTGTGACCCACTGGGCCTCCCACGGCTGACTGCCAGGCAGGAGCCCTAGTGACGCAGGGATCTGAGAGCTCTATCTAGGTCAGCAGTTTGAAGGCACAAGCCAGCCCACAGGAGAAATACTGGTGCTCTGCTTCCATAACAATTTTCAGATCAATGGTAAACATACCTGCACAGCCCGCCAATGACAACGACAACAAGCCACCATTTACGAGTGGCTACTAGCTAGCTTATTCCTATCAACAGAGAAAAGATTGAAGTTGTCAAGGACTTCATTCTTCTTGGATCAACATCAACACTCGCAGAAGCAGCAGTCAAGAGATCAGACGACGTATTGCATTGGGCAAATCTGCTGCACAAGACCTTTTTAAAGTGTTGAAGAGCAAAGATGTCAGCTTGAGGACTAAGGTGCGCCTGACCCAAGCCATGGTATTTTCAATAACCTCATATGCATGCGAAAGCTGGACAGTGAATAAGGAAGACCGTAGAAGAACTGATGCTTTTGAGTTGTGGCATTGGAGGAGAATACTGAAAGTGCCATGAGCTGCCAAAAGAACCAATAGATCTGTGTTGGAAGAAGTTCAGCCAGAGTGCCCTTGGAGGCCACAATGGCCAAACTTTGTCTCTCATACTTCAAACATATTGTCAGGAGGGAACAGTTGCTGGAGAAGGATATCATGTTTGGTAAGGTGGAGGGTCAGAGAAAAACAGGGGAAGACCCCCAACGAGATGGACTGGCAAAGTGGCAGCATCAATGGACTCAAGCATGGCAACAATTATGAGGTTGGCCTAGGATCGGGCAGTGTGTCTGTCTGCTGTGCATAAGGTCGCTATGGGTCCGTACCGCCTCGATGGCACCTAACAACAACAATTAGCTAGCTGTGCAAGCTGAGCAGGTGTGACCCGTGAGTCTACAAAGGTTTGGCAGAGGTTGTGTCTGCATATGTATGTGTAATTGTTGTTGTTGTTTAGTGCCGGCAATAAACCTGCTAACAAATACCAAGTAGAACATAAATGGTCAAAGGCATGAAAACTTCTTAAACACTCTGAAGGGCTGAGTGTCTGGGTTGAGGCCTTAGGACCACAGCCTCAGGGGACAGGCTGGGATAACAAAGACAACATTCTACATCTTACTCTGGTACCTAGCGCCTGGCTTCTTCAAAGATTGCAAATGGCATTCTAAAACACAACTACTAGCCTTTTCCTGTCTGGAACAAGGAAGAGTGAAGAAAATATAAAGAACTAAGGAAACAGGGACTCCACAGGACCAATGGACCACACACACCACAGCCTCCTCCAGCCTGTGACCAGAAGAACTAGATGGTGCCCGGCTACCAGTGAATGGAACTTCCTCACGAGGGTAGGAGAAAATGTAGAACAAAACACTCGATCCTAAAAAAGATGGGCTTACGGGTCATACAGAGACCGATGGAGCCCCCAAGTGTATGGTCATTGGTCATCATTCATGTCTGGAACTGAAAACATTCCCGGAACTAAAGTTAACCCCTACGCATGGCTAATTTTGTCAAATAATAGGTCTGTAAGGGGGATAATAACACAGTGAAGTACGAACAGCACAGAATAGTCAACGATTCGAAATCAGCAAAGGCAGCATTACCCAAGGACAGCCTTGTAGAAAGGCTGGAAAAGGAGGAGGAATGGAAACAGACAACACAGGGAGGAAGGGAGCTGGGTGATGTTGTAGGGGGGGCGGGGGGCGAGAGGCTGCAGTCACGGAGAGGAAGCAAAGTGTCTCCTTCTGGGAGACTAGAATCTCCAATCTCTCTGCTAGCGGCTGGATGTATGGACGATTTGCATCACCCAGGCATCTAGAAAGCTCAGGTCCTGAAAACCCCACTGGACACAGGTCTACTATGACACACAGGAGAACATCATGAGTTAAAACCGACTCGATGGCAACTGGTTTTTCAAGTGACAGCCGTTTATTATCTCGGGCCATTACCTTTCATCTGAAACCCTCGGGGCCCAGGAGGTTTCAGTAACCAAGATTCCCGCCCACTTTAGATAGGTAAAGTAGCCTAACAGCCCTAGTGACACTATACGATAAGCACCAGAATACTAACTGCAGGTCAGCAGTTCAAACCCACCATGAGCAAAACAGGAGACTATCCCACGAAGACATACAGTCTCAAAACCTACACAGGATTGCTGTGAGGCAGAATCAGGTAGACAGTAGATAGCGGTAGGGGATTTTTTGCTATTATATGTGACATGACACCGGGTGGGTACCTATGATACGCTGCAGTGTGGGAATATAGATACTGCGGTTCCTCATCGTTGATACAGGGCCTGACCCTTCCCTGGGGTGGGGCTGTCCTGTGCTCTGTGGAGTATTGAACAAGATTCCTGTTCTCCACCCACCCAATGCTAATAGCATCCCCTCCCAGTGGTGACAACCGCAAAGTCTCCAAACATTACCCAGAGTCCCTGGGGCCACGGAGTCAAGGGGAGACACAACCACCCTAGTTGGGAGCCACTGATATCAACTAAGCAGGAAAAAGAAAGGCTCTAAGTTGAAACAGAAGGAACCCTGATGGTATAAGAGTGACTTTACGCATTCAGCCACTAATTGTTCTACGGAAGAAAGAGCTGGCAATCTGCTCCCATAAAGATCACAACCTAGAAAATCCAATGAGTAGTTCTACTCTCTCACATGGGGTCACTGTAAGTTGAAATTGACTCACTAGGAACCCAGTAACAATGACAAGTCAAGTCAATACAGCTGAGGTTTTCTGGCCAAATGATATTGCTGCAAACATAGGGAAAACCTTCCTGTGTGCAAAGTATTAAAGGTTTCAGAACAGCAGACAAGAGGCTGTGGGTCTATATTAAAGGGTGTGGAGTTCTGGTGTGGCGATGTGGCTTAATGTGCTGGACTGCAAAGTCTGTTTGTGCTGCAAAGGCCGGCAGTTCAAGCTCACCGGCCACTCCTTGGAAACCCTATACAAAGTCACTGTGAGTCAAAACTGACTAGAAGGCACTTCACAACAACAACAATGAAAGCTTCAGGAACCCAGGGAAGATGGAGATCCATAAGAGTTGGAACCAGCAAGACAAACCTCCCAAAGGAGATGGCACCGAGGGAGCAGAGCACACACAGTCTTCCAGCAGTACTCATGGACAGTAATCTGCGCAAGGGTCTGTCCCTGGGCAGAAGACCGAGCAGCAAACAAGGTGGACCACATTCCCGCCTCCCTGAATAACCCTCGTTTTCACTCTCATGATCAGCGTAGCAATCTGTTGGAGAAACACCGGAGGGTCGTACAAGGGTGGAGGAAGACCGGCAAGAAGGCAAAATGGGGGCCCACCCAGCAGTGCTTCCTCCAGCTGCACCGAGTGGGTAGGAATCAACTCCCCGGCACCTGACAGTAATTAAGAAGGCAGAAGTCCCTGAGTGGACAAAAAACTAAACTACTTGTTGAAATGTTGATGATTTGGTCCCATCCCAAGGTGCTTCAGAAGTAAGGCCTGGAGATCTGCTCCTAGAAGGTCACAAGAAGACACCTCACGGCATCCTGCATGGTTTTTCCAACATAAATCAGGGGTCACTTCAGTCCCCTAATGAAAACCCTCCACGGTATCCCTGTGTGCTTTACATAAAAGGGTCCTATCAGTCCTGGTGTGGCGCTGTACAATAAGCATTGGACTGCAAGGTCGGTTTCAGCCACAAGGTCGGCAGTTTAAATGAACAACCACATACAGGGACGCTATGAGTTATAAACGAATTGATGGCACTTAACAACAAAACTTAATAACAAAAGGAGCTCTGGTAGCGTAGTGGTTACAAATCGGGCTGCGAGCCACAAGGTCAGCAGTTCGAAACTACCAGCTGCTCCCGTAAAGATTTACAGCCTCGGATACCCTATTCAGGGTCGCTATGGGTCAGAACTGACTCGACAGCACTTTAAAACAACAACAAACCAGCTGATTAAGGAGCCCTGGTGGCACTGGTGAATAAGCACTAGACTGCTAACTGCAAGATCGGCAGTTCAGACTCACCACCCACTCTGTGAGGGGAATGATGAGGCTTTTTACTCCTGTAAAGATTTACAGCCCTGGAAACCCTATAAACCTTCGCTAGGAGTAGGAATGGACTCCACGGAGGTAGTGTGTCTGTATAGGGTTTCTGAGGCTGTAAATCTTTATGGGAGCAGAAAGCCCCATCTTTCTCCCGCGGAGCAGCTGGTAGTTTCGAACTGCTGACTCTGTAGCAACCCGATTCATAACCACTACGCTACGAGAGCTCCTTGGATTCGATGGAAGTGTTTTTTTGTTTGTTTGTTTTACCAGCTCACTACGGACTGTCCCTGGGTTTTGAACATCACAAACATGCAACCCTAATTAACCTCTGATTTACATATAAATTTAATTTAAAGGCAGATTTAGGGAAAGAACATGCCCTTAATCCCAAACGCGATTACTCCCAAACACGATTGCAATGCGGGCACTGCCCACGTGTTCCAGCCAAACTGGATCCTGGCTCTTCAAGCAGGTTCCCCGTGTCCCCAGCTCTGGTCCTCCGCCTCCGATCTCCCCCTGATGCTGGGCAGTGGCCGCCTTCTCCCTGGTTCCCTCTAGGATTAAAGCTACATCCTTGGGGAACCCGTCGGTGCCATGAGATTGCCCCACTGGTCTCCATCTGTCCCCGCCTGCTAGGTCACTTGTTGGCCATCTGCCCCCGGCCAAGAGGTCTACAAGGACCGGGACCCCAAGTCCACACCAGGCCGGCCCCTAGCATGGCGTTCGCAGAATGAATGGAGTGCCGGGAAAACTGGCTCGTTCGTTCGGCCGACAAGAAGGCGAGGGTCCCCGCTCACTTAACCGCCCGAACCCAGGGTCACTCTAGGGTCACTGGACTTCAGTCAGGTGCCGAGGTGCATACGACCCCACGAGGCCCGAGGGTACGGGAGTTGCCTGAGGATGGGAAGCTGGAGTCACGCCGGCCAAGAAGCGGCTAGTACCTGCGGGGGGTTTCATGGTGGATGGATCTGCGCCGGAGGCTCCTTAGCTCCACCTCGTTCACGTCCAGATGCTACGGACGCCTCAGTCTGCAGACAGCAGTGCGTACAGGGCAGACTGAGGCGCCCGCCGACTGCCACGCGCAAGGCATACTGGGACAGCGTGTGCTCATGTGGGCGGGACGGTGATGCGCATCAGGTTCGAGCTCCGCCCCATATACCCAGAGCGGCAGAATTTACTGAACAACTCGCTGTCTCCACTCCCTGATTCTTCCGGCTTGTCATTGGCTCCTAGAAGTAGGTGGGGTTGAGCGTCGGGCTCCACCCTAGAGGCGTGTCCATGGAAACGAACATCTGTCAATGAACAACTTTTTGGCGGTACTTTTCCACCAGCGCTTCTAGCTTCAGCATTTCCTCTTTTTTAAAATTTATTTTTGTCATTGTTTTGTTCTTCTTGTCGTTGGTAATATACACAGCAGAGCATACACTAATTCTACAATTTCTACATGTGCAATTCAGTGATATTATTCAAATTATTCATCCTTTGTAATAATCATCCTTCAAATTGTTATTCCGCCATTACCATAACCTCACAGCCCATAAAGCTTCCTATCTATTATTCTGATGCTATTTTCAATTTAGGAGCTCTGGTAACGTAGTGGTTACGAATCGAATCGGACTGCTATCTTCAGAATCAGCAGTTCGAAACTACCAACTGTTTCGCAGGAGAAAGATGAGGCTTTATACTCCCATTAAGATTTACAGCCTCGGAAACCCTGTACAAGGTCGCTATGAGTCGGAACCGACTCCACCACGGCATATAACAACAACAACAACAACATTTTCAATTTAGGCGTTCTGTCGGCGTAGTGGTTATGAGTCGAGCTGCTAACCTCGAGGTCAGCAGTTTGAAACTACCATCCGTTCCAAGGGAGAAAAATGAGGCTTTCTGCTGTGTGTAAAAAGATTAACAGCCTTGGAAACCCTATGCAGGGTCGCTCTGAGTCAAAACTGACTCCACAGCGCATCACCACCATTCTCAATTTGATCCACAGAGAAAATTCTTTTAAAAGCCTGATGTTCTTAAGTGCTGTCGAGTCAATTTCAACTCACAGCAATCCTGCATAGGGTTGCCGAGGAGCAGCTGGTGAGTTTGAACTGCCAACCTTGTGGTTCAAACCGACCTTGTGGTCTAAGTGCATACCCTATAGCACTAGTGCCGATGAATTATTAAGTACCGATGAATCCGTTCCAGCTCATAGCGACCAAGCCTAGCTCAGTATTAATTTATGCTTGTGTTCTAGACCTAGTAAGAGGCCAGGCGACACAGTGTTTTAATGTTCAGACGCTAACCGAAAGGTGAGAGATTGTTGTTGTTGTTGTTGTCAGGTGCCATCGAGTCGGTACCGGCTCATAACGACCTTATGCACAACAGAACGAAACACTGCCCGATCCTCGGCCAACCTCACAATTGTTGCCATGCTTGAGCCCATTGATGCTGCCACTTTGCCAATCCATCTCGCTGGTACCCCTTTCTTTGGTTGTTTAAATGATTATATATTCCTGCGTGGTTTTGTGTACATTAAAAAAAAAAAGGAGGGAGTAGAGGCAAATCATGATGGCGCCAAACCATCCTTCCAACAGCACTGTCTACTCAACTAGGTTTAAATGCAATGACCACCCACAAGTCAGGCACCAGACTCACAATTACAAGGTTTATTAGAGAAGCTAGCAAGTTACAACGTAGGATCGAAAAAGCTCCGGGCACATTTGTTGCAGTCAGAACAGCTACTCCTCAGTCACGCCCACAGGAAGAGCTCTGTGCCGGAGAAATATTAAAAAGTTCTCTTAGGGCTGCTAATGAATGTCCAAAGGGCATACCACTCTACCATAAGCCTTAGCCTGAAGGCACTTGGCAAAACTGACACCCTCAGTTAAGTGCCTACAGGCACCCCACCTCTGCAAGCAAGCCTCCTGCCCAAAGTCACTCAGCTCTACTTGCTGTGTGGGCTGGGGAGCCCACCACCCTGTCTGGTGTTCTGTCTCTTGGTTCTGCTACTCCAGGTCCTCTGTCACTCCTGCAATTCACAACTGTCTGTCCCTGGGTCAAGGGGGTTCAAGATGCAGTGATCTTGGGGTCCAAAAGACACACTCCCCTCCTGGTTCTTCCTTAATGGTAGTGAGCTTTTCTTTTCCCTCCTGCTTCTGAAACTGTTGGTTTTCTACCCAGTCTAGAAGTTCAAGTTTTTACAATTACAACTAACTCAACCTTCCCAGTTAAATCCTGCCTTCCTCTCAGGATCTTCTCCCACCTTCTCTTATTCAGACTCATCTGAAGAAGTGTCTTTGGTGAGAGTGAAAGAAAACACTGGGCTGTTGAAACCAAGTTTCCATCTCCCAAGTTCTTAAAGTTTCATATTCCCCCCAAAGAAAGCAATTATCCTATTCTCCCAGGCACCCCCTCACTGCTGCTCAGCAACCTATCCATGACAACCACAACCTACCCCCTACCCATGCTACAGGAAGGGGGCCTTTTGATTCAGGTCCGGGCCCCTTCCCAGGTTTATCCAATAAACAACAATAAATTGTTGAGCGTCTCTAGCTTTCTGCCTCCTCTGAGAGTCATAAAGACTAAGTCTGGTCGTGGTGGTATGTGGTGAAGTCCATTCCGATTCACAGCGACCCTGCATAAGGTTTCCGAAGCTGTAAATCTTTATGGGAACAGAAAGCCTCATCTTTCTCCCATGGAACCACTTGTAGTTTCAAACTGCTGACTGTGAGGTTAGCAGCCAGACTCGTAACCACTACGCTACCAGAGCTCCTGAAGACTAAGTCTAGAAGAGACATATTAAAGGATTCACTATTTCACTCCCTGCTCTTCTAGCCATCCTCCCCTTCATACGCACAGGGGTAACTTTTCCACAAGCATCATTGTAAGTGAGCACACCAATGAAATCATGCTTTATCTTCCTTGCTCTCGATTTCCAATTTCTAAATGTCCCATTCCTATCAACCCAGAACTCTGGAGACAAGCATGTTTCTTGATTTGAGGAAATCACCTGTTCTGCTTGGAATTTACAGCAACTGTATCCACAAGCAAGCCAGTCCAGTCCTGGAGCAAGTCATCAGAAGAAATTCACACTAGGTCCTATTACCATGTATCTTTCTCTTCATTTGGTTGGGTTCTGGTCAATCCAGCCCTAGCAATACAAGCTAGGTCAAACGGATACCAGGGCACCAGGGCATCCCTACTTCAGATCAGCTGACCCTAACCCTCACTGTCTTGTGAGCAGCCAACATCAAACTGCTTGCTCACAATTCAAGCAAGCCTAGCAGTCTTTTTTTTTTTTTTTAAATCTGTACCTGTCTTTCCTTCACTGGAAAACCTGATCTCTCAATAGTTCTGGGTAGAGCTCAAGTTTCCATCCCTTACTCTACAGAGGCTTAAAATAAAACTTTCTTCCTGGCTGTTTATAACTTCCCTATTAGTTTATCCAATCAACTATAGGCTGAAGGCAGGATTGCAAACTCAGAGTAATCAGGATATCCAATTTCCCTCACATTTGTGCATCTACCTCCTGCCTCTGGCTACCAGGGTAGGTCCTGTACATATTAGTCATCTTGTTTAACCACACAGACTCCTGCCCCAGATAACTCCAATACCAGCTGACATCTCTTACCTTCCTTTAAATCATTGCAGTTAACAAACATTACATTTAGGTGCCATCGAGTCAGTACCGACCCATAGTGACCCTATGCACAGCAGAACAAAACACTGCTCGATCCTGGGCCAACCTCACTATTGTTGCCACGCTTGAGGCCATCGATGCTGCCACTTGGCCAATCCATCACGTTGGGGGTCTTCCTCTTTTTCTCTGACCCTCCACCTTACCAAACATGATATCCCTCTCCAGTGGCTGCTCCCTCCTGACAATATATCCGAAGTATAAGAGATGAAGTTTGGCTATCTTGGCCTCTAAGGAGCACTCCGGCTGCACTTCTTTCAAAACGGATCTATTGGTTCTTTTGGCAGCCCATGGCACTTTCAATATACTCCTCCAACACCACAACTGAAAGGCATCAATTCTTCTATGGTCTTCCTTATTCACTGTCCAGCTTTCGCACACATATGAGGTTATTGAAAATACCATGGCTTGGGTCAGGCGCACCTT